ACAGCTGCAGCAGCAGCAACCACAACACCAACAATAATAGCAATAACAACAACAACAACAACAAGAACAACAACAACTCCAACAACAAGAACAACCACAACAGCAACTACCACTACTAATACTACTACTACTACTACTACTACTACTACTACTACTACTACTACTACTACACCAACACCAACACCAACAACAACAACCACAACACCAACACCAACACCAACACCAACACCAACAACAACAACAATAACAATAACGACGACGACGACAACAACAACCACAACAACAACAACAACAACAGTAGCAGCAGCAGAACAACGACGACGACGACAACGACAACGACAACGACAACGACGACAACCACAACAGCAGCAGCAACAACAACAACAACAACAAGTTTAAGACTGTTCGCCCTTATATGCTCGAGTGTCCAATAACGCGTATTTTCCAAACCCTCGATACCCGCCCTCTTCGTCTTCGATCGAACCCCTTTTGGGGGGTATACCTTTCTTCCCTGCAGGCCAGGCCCCGGCAAGCGGCGGGGCGGCCGCGGACCGTCGGCCTGGCCAGCGGCAGCGCTGATCGGCGGGGCGGCCGCGGACCGTCGACCCGACCCCAAGAGGGACGGACAGGGGACCGACGACGACGACGACGACGACGACGACGACGACGACGACGACGACGACGTCGAAGACGACGGCGACGACGACGACGGCGACGACGAGCGAAAGCGAGAGCGAGAGAGAACGACAGCAAGGCCACGAAGGGCACGAAGTAGGCCACGAAGGGCGACAGCGGGGACACGAAGGGAATACGTATGGGGCCACGAAGAGCGCGAACGAGCGGGGGCCACGAAGTGCAGATAATGCGGGGCCACAGAAGGCAACCATGGGGCCACGGAGGGTAGCAACTGGGCCAGGTAGGACAGTGAGGGGGACACACATGGCGACAGCGGGGCCACGAAGGGCATGCACATGGGGCCACAACGGGCGCGACTCCTGGGTGCCTGGGTGTCGGGAGCGCGGCGCTTGGGCAAATTGCAGGAAATTCCTACGCAAGGCCATTCTTCGGTAAGTTGCAAGCAAGTCTCGAGCGGGAGCGCGACTCCAGAGGCCAGGAGAGCGATTCCTGAATAAATTGGAAGGAAGTCCCAAGCGAGAGCGCGATTCCTGAATACAATGCGAGGAAGTCTCGGGCGGGAGCGGGGGTCCTGGCTAAATTGTAAGGAAGTCTCAAGCGGGAGCCGTTGTTGTTGTAACCCGGGGGCCAAGGGCCCAGTTTGAGCATCAAGGCTTTCCCTGTCAAAAAACAAGGTGCGAGCGTCGAGGGGCACACTTCGATTGAGAAGAACAGTATGCACCGGTGGGGGGATCAACAATAACTATCTTCGAACATGAGAATTCAACAACAACAACAACAACAACAACAACAACAACAACAACAACAGCAACAGCAACAGCAACAGCAACAGCAACAGCAACAACCACAACCACTACCACAACCACAACAACAGCAACAGACAACAAACAACAAGCAACAAGCAACAAGCAACAAACAACAAACAAGAAGCAACAAACAACAAAGAACAAACAACAAACAACAAACAACAAACAACAAACAACAAACAACAAACAACAAACAATAAACAACAAACAACAACCAACAAACAACAACCAACAACAACCAACAACCAACAACCAACAACCAACAACCAACAACCAACAACAACAACAACAACAGTAGCAGCAGCAGAACAACGACGACGACGACAACGACAACGACAACGACATAATCAGACTCATCATCATCAGCAGCACCAGCATCATCGTAAGCAGCATCATAATCACCATCATCAACCTCATCATCATCTTTATACTCAGCATCATCATCATCAGCAGCAGCATCATCACCATCACCACCACCAGCACCAGCACCAGCACCGGCGCCCGCAGCAGCATGAGCAAGATCTCTATCACAATCACCATTGGCGTCGGCATCAACATCATCAGCATCACCACCAGCGTCAGCACCATATGTAATGTCTTCGAGACGGCGCGGGCAGGCGGCAGGGGGGCGAAGCCCTTACGGATATACCTCTGAAGACCTCTGAAGATTGATGTTGCACGCCATCACACTGACAAACACAGCTAACTACTGCCCCGACCTCTGCTGGGGTGCGAATCCAGCCGTGGCGACGAAGGTCCACCCAGACAGACCAGAAAGGCGAAAACGAGGGCATGGCATCGGCACATCGGCATCGGTGCGCGGTTCTATTCTGAGCCTCGGCGTATATGGACGCGCAGGCAGCCACCCTGCCCAGGTTGTACGCGGGCGCGCCCACGGCTATCGCCGCGCGCAGCGACAGCAGGACACGCTCCTCATCCGAAACCTGCCGGGGCACCACGCCCGCCGCGTCCTTGCTGGCCCAGTCCACCTCGGCGTAGTAGAGGCCGTCGGTACCCTCCTCGACCCAGGCGTGTCTCACCTGGACCCGCTCTCGCCCGACGCCACGAATGTTGGCCCTGCCGTCTGGCAGGAAGTGTGCCGAATCCACCTCGACCAGGAGCACCTCGTCGCCCTCCTGGGGCGGCTTCTGCGCGCACAGGAACCGCCGGTTCCCCTCCCACGCCCGGCGTATGAGGACCTTGTAGCGCGGCTCGAAAAAGTGGAGCCGCACCTGCTCGCTGGGCCGAGAGGCCACGCCGCGCATGTAGAAGACGGGTATCCTCCGCCTCTCGCGATCCTCGAGCGCGGCCAGTTCCTCCGCGTCCGCGGCGCGGCGCTTCTCTAGTGCCTCTGGGGGCACCAACATCCGCACCCGCGACTCAATCTCGGGGTCGGTCGGCTCGTTCCGTGGGTCCTTGATCTCGACGTGGGTCCTGCAGGTCGGGCAACTGCGGCCGTCGGGAGCCAGCCGGGTGGACTGCAGCAGGCACAGTCTGCAGAAGGTGTGGCCGCACCGCAGCCTCAGCGGGGAGCAGAAGAACTCGATGCAGATGGGGCACTGCAGGTCGCGCTCCACCAACGTGGTCTCCCACGCCACCTGCGTCCCCCTCTCATGCCTCCGTCCCTCTCTGGTCTCCATCACCCCTCCCCCTCAAACTCATCCCCTGGACCTCCCCCAGGGTGCGCTCTGAGCAGAATCCCACCAGCTCTCTGGGCGTAATTAGGTGGTCTAGAGCGCTTCCTCTTCCAACCCCCTTCTTCCCTTCGGGGAGGGATTTGCCCCTCCCCCTACCCGCTCCCTTGGACCTGGACGGGGCGCTCCGCGGGTAGTTAGAGCGTCCAAGATGGCCCAAGACGGCTCCAAGAGCGCCTCGGAGAGCCCAAGATGACCTGCAAGATGGCTCAAGATAGCGTAAGAGGCAGCAAGATGGCTCCCAAGATGCTCCAAGAGGCCCCACCGCCCCAAGACGGCTCCAAGAGGCCTCCGAGACCCCCAAGGAGGCACCCAAGAAGCACAAATCCTTGAAAAGCCTGGAAATCAATAATGTTTATGTCGTCGCCTGTTTGCTTTCGATGGCCTTCCGAGGCTTCAAGATGGTTCAAGGATGGCCCCAGACAGACCCAAGAGCCCCAAGAGAGCTCAAGAGCGCCCCAAGGGCGCCCAAAGAGCGCCCAAAGAGGCGATGTGTGGGGCTCCCGAGGGGCAACGCTAAGTATGGCTCCCCTCTTTTGTTGATCGGTGTCCTCCAAGATGGCCCCAAGAGCGGCCCCAAAGCTCCCACGATCGCACCAAGAGGGCCCCCAAAGGGCCCAGACGGCCCAAAGGGGCCTCCAAGAGGCCTCCAAAAGGCTCCCAAAAGACCTTCAAAAGGCCTCGAGAGGATCCCCAGGGCACCCAACACGCTCGAGGACGGCGGCCTTGGGCCCGCCAAGATGTTCCCCCCAGACGTCCCAGGAGGTTTCCAAAAAGCTTCCAAAATATATTCGAGGAAGAGACTCCGAGAAGCATCCAAGAGGCTTTTGCTCATCTCCGAGAAGCATTCAAGAGGTTTCTGGCTCTTCTGTTCGCCCTTTTCCTCCTCCTCCTCCTCCTCCTCCTCCTCCCTCTCCTTCTCCCTCCTCCTCCTCCCTCCTGCCTCCTCCAGCGGCGCTCACTTGCCCATGGTGCTCGCGCACATTTTTTAAATTTCGGGGGCTAAAGCAACACGTTGCCCAGGTGCATTGGACCTTGTCACACAGGGTCAAAGGCCTAGTACCGGACACCCAGGTGTGCCCGGCCTGCAGTCTCCCCTTTGGCTCACGCGCCAGTCTCATGCAGCACCTCTGTTTCGACTCCTTCATATGTGCCCTCTACCTCCTTTGCCATTCCCAACGCCTTCCCCAAGAGCAAATCGCAGCGCTTGCTATGCAACGCTGCGAAAATGCCAAGCTACAAGTAAAGTCAGGCGTAGGTCGCTGGCGTGTGGCATTACCGGCACATCGTGCCAAGCGTGCTACCACACAGCAATTTCGTGACTTTGCCAAACACTTGTCGCAAGCGGACGCTCGCGCCATAATGGCGGTAACAGATTACGCGCTGGACTCTGCAGCCGTCTCTTTACTTTTTCCCGCCGATGTTCCTCCGCCAATACCTCCTCCTCTTCCTGCGCTGCCTGAATGGCCATTTCAGCCGGAGGATTATTCTGGTCTAGCGACCAGAGAAATTCCAGCCCGTATAAGGCGCAAGGAAATTGTCATCCTCAATCTTTTCTCTGGCCGCAGGCGCGAAGGGGATATCCAGCATCACCTGGAATCATTCACGCCTGACCCCTCGATAGAGGTACATATACTGTCGGTCGATATTGCTATCGACCCCGACTCGGGCGATCTCACCAAGTCGGAGACCATTAAGCTCTGGCAACAACATATTTATGCCGGCAGAGTGGTTGTTTCAGGTGGGGGCCCGCCGTGCGAAACCTTTTGCGCGGCCCGCTGGAAGCCCAACGGGCCACCGCCGCTGCGCACTACCGAGCACTACTGGGCATCCCCAACGCAACGCCCAAGCAATCCCGCCAATTGCACATAGCCAACTTGCTACTCGCTTAATTGGTTCTCCTCTTTGCCGCTCATTTGGAAATGGGCACCTCGGCATGGATGGAACATCCATGCCCTGCCCACTGGGAACCCAGGGCGCAGCCTAGCTGGATTTGGAGGCCTTTAATGGCCCTGGCTGCTGCCCAGGCGGTCCGCACCACGGACATCGACCAGTGCATGTTCCAGCCGTCTTGCCGCCCTCCTAACGAATTCGGCAAAGCCCCCACGCGCTTGCTATCGCTCCGCCTTCCCTCGCTCCCAGAGCTCCTAAATAACCGTCCCCAAGGGACCAAGTGCACGCACCCACGGGGGTCACATCGTACACTTCTAGGTAAGGACGAGAATGACCGCTTTTTCACTGCTGACAAAAAGACCTATCCTTCTGCCCTCTGCGAATGTCTCGCCCAGGCTATATACCAGGACGTCATTTTACCATTTGTTGACGACCCACAGGATCCTCTTCCCCAGTCGGACCCCTCGGTTCTGGCTCCCCTCCTCCGCTTCTCCGCTTCCATGACCAGCGACTTTTGGCTAGGCCCCGACTTTGTTGATCCCTCCGCCCCTCGCACCCGTGCCAAAGTGGATGGGGAGCTGGACCGCTCTCCAGGCCCCGCGAGCCGCGGCGCCATAGCGACCTCCCCTCAGAGGCTCACGTGCAGCCTGATCCCGCCGATCAGGACTCGGAAGCGGAACAAGAGGCCATGCACTTTTTGGGCAAAGTCCCAATTTTTCCCTCCACCCTCCCTCCGCCGCCACCCCCGCCCCCCCTAACTCTGGATCAGAAAAGGCACATCCAGTGCAATAGGGAGCGGGCTAGACAAATCAGGGCCGAGCGTTCCCGTCAAGCGGCACGACCCGTCCCGCTCACGGGCATTTCCCTCTCTCACATGTGGCACCCTGCTTCGCCCGCCCCGCAGGACTTCAACGCCGACATCTTCTACACTTAGCTGGCGTCATGTCCAGACGGCCACGGGTGCTGGCGCCGCGTGAAGCCAGGCCAAAGCATCCCCCACCGGGCCAATTTCGGCCCGCCTCAGCTCCTCCACCCCTACTTTCGCCTGCCCAATTCGCCCAGGTAGCCAAAGCGGTGCAGCGCTCTCTGTCCAGCACCCCACCTGCCTCAGACCCCCCGCGGCCGCCTGGCGATTTCAGCGGCCCCCCCATGGGTAGAGGCAGGCACATTTACGGGGCCACCTTTCATCCTCCGCCACCTCCGCCCGCCTTGCCTCCCTTGCCGCCCCCAGATCATCCCAGGGTGCCTGCCAAAGCAGCCATTCCGGAAGGCTGGATAGGCCAGGCAGCTTCTCCTTTTTCTCCACCCCTTTCAGCGTGCACCTCGCCTCCACCCCTTCGCGAGCCTCGCAAACAGTCACGCAAAGCTGCGCCACGCAAGAGCCAGCCAAGCAGGCCTTATAGTCCCCCAGCATCGCCTAGAAGGCTGGATCAGGTGGACGACGCCTCATATTCCTCTGCCTCCTCACCATTTCCTCCGCACGACTCTCCAGAGCCGGCGGAACAGTCCGCTGCGCCCCGCGCCTCTGCAACTCGCAAGCGCAAACAGGTATCATTTGCGGACGAGTTCACGGCCAAGCCCCCCAAGGTGGCCTACAATTCGCGCTTACGCACCGAGCCGCGCAAAAGCGCGCTCAAGCAGCCAGCGCCGATACGCAGGGAACCTGCCGAGGCACAAAGTAGCCCGCAGGAGTCCCTCGGCCCGCCGACACCTCCAGCCTCTCCCCCCCCTAGGCACCATAGGGCTCGCAAGGCCAAGGCGCGCCGCGCGGCCCATGCAGCTCAGCGCTCACGTTCGCCTGCCAAAGCGTCAGATGCAGCCTCGGACGAGCAGCCTGCGCCACAGCGCCGAGATCCAGTAGAGGCTCAAAGCAGCCCGCAGGATTCCCACAGCCCGGCCTCGCCTCCAGCCTCACCTCCTACAAGGCTCCACAGGGCTCGCAAGTCTCACCATGCTGCCCATGTAGCTCCGCGCCTGCCGCCTACAGTCGCAGCTGCAGCTGCGTCAGCCGCAGCATCGGACAAGCAGCGCAGCTCATTTCTCAAGGAGCACGAGAATAGAATTGCCCAGCTCAAAGAGGAGCATAGGCAGGACCAGCTCCGCAGCGACAGGATACACAGGGAGCGCCTCAAGATGCAGTTGCGAGATGGCGAAAGCCTTTCGCATTGCGGTCAGCGTCTGTCGCCCAGGAGGCCGCGTAAACCTCATGAAGGAGGTGAGGCTGCCAGGCGCTAGACCTTTGCCAGGCAGCTAGCCCCCAGCCTAAGCCTAACCTCTCCCTCTTTCCTCTTATCATCTCCCCTTTCTGCCTCATCCCCATCAGGCCATGAGGAGCGAGCCCAGTATCCAGGGCAACGCCGGTGCAGACGAGGACGCGCCCGCTGCTGAGGCGTACCCGGGGCAACAATTAGATCCGCGAAGCATCTCGCCACCAGCCTCTCGCTTGGCTTCCTTATGGAAACATCTGGCTGAGCGGCTTCTTTTGGCTCACCAGCAAGTCTACCGCTTTCTCAGCGGCGGCGCAAGGCGCCACGCACTTATTCTGTCTCCCACCACGGTGTACCAGCATAATGCGGTACCCCAGTGGCAAGCCACATGGCAGCTCGAGAGCGGGCCGCCCGCATGGCCACACGCGCGCGCCTTCGTGGGCCCTCTGCTTCACTTAGATTTGCCCACGGCCGTAAATCGCACACTCGAGCGCTGGCATGGGCGATGGCGCGAGGCCAACTACCCTAACCTACTCCACATTTACCCTCAATGTGCTGCGGGGGACGGCCCCTATGATGCCCGTTTCTCACCCACCATAGGGCTAGTTTCAGTTTACGTGCCGGACCAGCTTTTTCTGGACCTACTCCAATCGGGGGCCTGGGAGCAGGCCCCCCTCAGCCCTCATCGGCTTTTGCAGGATGCAGCGGCTGGCAGCCCCATCCTTATAGACTTCCAGGCCATGATCATGGTTCGGCCATTCTGCCTCCCGCTGTCCCACCTCGCTCGAATCCTCCGTCTCCCCGAACCCTAATCCCTCAGGCCATGCCGACCCCAGAGGCGCAGCACCTGCCGCAGTTCGAGCACGGCGACTTCCGCTGCGCCCCCACTGAGGCAGTGCCACCACCGCCTACAGCATTGCAGTGGCTGGTAGTGATAACGACTGGCCACGACTGGCCACATTTCGCTTTGGTCCCCACTGCCCATCAATGTAGGGCTCCTAATGGAGCAATTCCATGGGCAGGAGACCAGGCTGCCATCCTCTGCGGAAAGGCCGCGCTTTTTTCACCCCCCCATTCTTCAGGAGATGGATGCACGGCCCATCCTATTTGGTACGGGCATACCCTACCGCACCGGCCTTTCGCTGCGGGTCAACATGCGTAGCGGTAACATCCTCATCCCTATAGACTCCGCACCAGGCCAAGCATGCATCAGTCGGCCCGTCAGGAGGGTCCTCCTTACACAGATGCAAGCATAGGCCAGCTAGGTTTCACTCACATTTGGCCGTTGGCTTATGGGCTACTTCTTTTTGTTTCCTTGGCACTCCCCCCCTTCTCTCAGCGCGCCCCACGCCGCCATGGTGCCCATGCCTCCCGCGGGTGGTTCCGCAGCGGCCGCGGCGGAGGCGGGCGCGGCCGAGGCCAGCAGGGCGTCGCCTGACACGCAGGAGCTCTTCGGCCTCTCAGGAGACACATATGCTGGTTCAGCATGGCAGGGCTCCCAATACACGGCCGCCACGCGTGAGTTCAAAAAGTGGTGGCCCTCCACATACCCTGGCGAGTGGAAGATGCCCAACGGCATGCTCTACCCGTTCGTCTGGAAGCTCAAGTCGCTGGACGTCATCGACGGCCAGGTCGTCGAAACCTGGGACTGGGAGTGGATCGAGACCCCAGGCCTGGCGACCATCTCTGAGGTGGAGGCCATGCTGAGGGACCACTACAACCAGCAGCAGGCTGCCGCGCAAGAGGCCCAGGCGCGAGCGGCGGCGACAGCGGCAGGCCTCTCGGCGCTCTCGGCTGCCGCCCGCACTCTCAACCCGTCGCCCTTCGGTGCCTGAGCGAGCCACATTAGTGCCACATCAGTCAGCGCCCTTCTAGGTCGTCCTAAGCGACCTCGGCGCAACTAGCAGCGCGCCCACTTAGGTGGTGGGCTCGCCTAATACTCTCCCTTTGTTCATCTTTTCATCGTTTTCTATTACCTCGGCAGCCCACCACCTAAACAGCTGGAGCCATGCCGCTCCAATTCAAGGTCGGTCGAGCCGTCCTGCATAGCTGAGTTGTAAGCCACGCGAGTCTAGCAGCATCCAGCCTATCCCGCCATAGTGCGGCTCAGCAACCTTGAGCAGCCCCGCTAACAGAGAGTCGGCTAAGCGCCGCTCGCATATCTCAATTCGCAGACTCGCCACGGCTGAGTCCTCACGCATAGGTGGTGGGCTAGCACATTGCTCGGATCTTGGTTTGCCTGCAGCCCACCACCTATACAGCCCAAGCCATCACACGAGCCAAATTATAACAAAGGAGACACCGCGTCTCCAATTTAAGGCCGGCCAAGCCGGCATGCATTCCGCTGCAGTGGGTCCTTCAGGTACACACTCGCACTGCAACTCTTGCGGCGTCAGTCGGCACCATCTCAGGCCTACATGGGATAGGCGCCCATGGTGCAACCGTCAATGCGCCACACAGGGGCGGAGCCGCCTAATGCCTACCTCGGCAGCCCACCTAGCACTTTTTTTTCCACCGGCCACTCTTTGGAGGGCCCTCCATGAGTAGTCGCCATTCATGGGCGCGACTTCTCACTTTGCCGCACGAGCGAGGCCAGCACGGCACATTTTAGCAGCCGCGCTAAACAGCGATCGGCTAAGCTCACACAGCAATTCGCAGACTCGCCACGGCTGAGTCTCCTAGGTGGTGGGCTGGCCTAATACTCTCGGTTCACCGTGGCAGCTCACTACCTAGACAGCCCTAGCCACAAGTGCCTCATGAGAGGACCGTGGCACTTTGCCCCGGCGTATCTCTTTGGCCCCCGTCCAGGTGTAGCAGGGCCCCCTTGGTCCCTGTGTGCCTGTGAGGGGCCACACGGAGGTGGGTCCCTGTTGTCTGGTCTCGGCTAGCGCCCAGGCACACCCACCTCCCCGCCGCCGGCGGCCCGTACAGGCCTTTCAGCTGCAGCGTACGCCCTGCAGCACGGCAATGCCATTCTGGCCCTTTTTCCGCCCCCCGCCTCATATGATCTCCCCCGCTCTTCCTCCAGTCCAGATCTCCTCCCCTGGAGGTTTGGACAGCCGCACTGCGGCCTGGCCATTTTGGCCCTCCGTCCAGCTCTTCCCTCTCACCAGCCGACCGAAACTCGGAAGGCTTCCCAGGCAGGTCTTTTCTTTTCCTGCCCTGCACTGCTCTCTGCCTCGAGGGTTGCCCTGCTATGGGCAACGAAGCAGGGCCCCGCTGATGTCTCTCTTCGCACGGCGCTGCAATCTCCTCCTCTCTCGTATATGATTCCTCTCCTCCCCTCCCTCAGCGCCAATACCTCTCTCCCGACAGTTTTCGGGACGAGAGCGGAAGCAGCTCAGCGTCCATGCTCTCGGGCTTCTCGTGTGCAGCCTGTGCCAATCCTGTTGGCCGCTGCGCTCAAGCTAACTTGCAACGAGCCTAGTTTAGTCAAAAAAAGCCTCCCCTTCCCCCACCGCCTCCTCTTCATCATCATCATCCTCATCCCCCTCCTCTCCCTCGTCCTCCTCCTCCTCGAAGAAGAAGAAGAAGAATCCCTCCTCCTCATCATCATCTGCAGCAGCATCATCATCAATCAATCATCATCCCCCTCATCATCGTCATCATCAGTGATGATGACGATGACGATGACGATGATGATGATGATGATGATGATGATGATGATGATGATGATGATGGTGATGATGAAGATGGTGATGGCTCGTCAACATCATCTGCATTTTCCTCATCATCCTCAGCCCTTCCTCATCTATCCTCCTCCTCTTCTTTCTCCTCCTTCGAACGATAACGGCTGCACTCCTCTTTGCTCCTACACTTCCCTGATCAACTCTACTCGCCTGGGCGTCGATTCCGGATGGGCTGGTGGGGATGCTTTTTGGTACGCGGGCGCGCGAAGCGAGTCGGCCGCCGTGCAAGCAGGGGCAGGCCGTGCCACCAGCTAAGGAGCTGGTGGAAATACTTTTTGATCTGCGGCCCAAAGGACGGTTCCAGAGGGCGGGTCAATCGCTGGTGGAAATACGCGAAGAGACAAGAGTTTCTAGAATGAATGCCCTCCAGGAGACCCTGAGATCATCCGTCAACGATTTCTGAAGGCCAGAGATCCTATGGAGAAGATTCCTGGACGTCTCCCTGGAGTTCACCAGAGGCCAGCAGCCGACCAAAACGTCCGAACCCTGAGATTCGACGTCGCGGAACAAACACTTCGTTCTTTTGTGTATAGATACAGATATACATATATCTATATATATAGACACACTAAGTGATTATAAAAAGGCGCAAGAAAATGAGGAACTGGAGGGCATGGCCCGAACCGGAGCAAAAACGCCTGGTCGCGAAGCAAATGCGAAGCCTGGATCTAAAGGCCTCCTGGATTGGGTCGGAGAATCGCGCCGCATCTCCGATACATCGGCGATGCATCGGCGATGCACAAGCGATGCATCGGCGATGCATCGTCGACGTGGGAGATGCATCGGCGACGTCGGCTCCACGTCGAGCCGCATCGCCGATGCATCGGCGATGCGGCAAAATCCTCCGACCCCATCTACTCGGACCCCATCTGGGAGACCTAGAGTTAGTTCGGGCCTGTCCTTCTAAAGACAGATATTGGAAGAAAACTCTAAAAATAGTCAAACAAGAATCAAATAATAGCCAAGACGAGCACGAAAATTCGTCACCAGACTATTTGTCTACCATTCTTGAACTTTCATCCTGTGAAGAGACATGCCCGACTTAAGCCTAGAGGTTCTCGGGGAGGGGAAAGCCGCAGCAGCAGGCAACCAGCCTGCGGCTGCGCCCTCGCCTCCTCCACGCCCATGCGCTCCATGCGCGCCGACCACCCGCGCGGCTCGCAGCAGCGGCGCGCACGGCCCGCACGCGAGGGGCGGCCAGCGCACGCCTCAGACGAAGCCAGGACGCGGAAAAAATCTGGTGAGGATATAAATCGAGAATCTCTGAGACCCTCCTCCTCCCCCTCATTCTCCCTCTCCTCCTCCTACCCTTCCTCCTCTTCCTTCCTCCTCCTCCTCCTCCTCCTCCTCCTCCTCCTCCTCCTCCTCCTCCTCCTCCTCCTCCTCCTCCTCCTCCATCTCCTCTTAAGACGAAGCCAGGACGAGGATGAAATCGGGTGAAGATAGATCGAGAACATCTGAGATCCAGCGGCTCTGGAGGATGGTTTGGGCACCGCGGCCTTCTCCGAGCGTTCCGGAACGCTCCGAGAGAGTTCCAGAGCGCTCTGACACGGATTCCTCCTCCTCCTCCCTCTCCTCCTCCTCTCATCCTATCTCCCTCTCCTCTTGCTCCTCCCACTCCTCCCCCTCCTCTCCTCCTCCTCCTCCTCCTCCTCCTCCATTTCATCCTCCTCATCCTCCTCCTCCACCTCCTCCTCATCCTCCTCCTCCTTAAGCGCCGTTTGGACTGAGGTCATTTTGGCAGCGAGCTCGACGGGCCTCTGCACTTCCCCGCAGTGCTTGAGGGACTCATCCTTGGGGTCCGCACCAACCCTGAGGATTCGACCAAGACAGAGGCTCATCACTGCCCACCCAGAAGCATGTCCGCACAGCTGTGGACGCGTCGCGAATGTGGGCAGTGCGAGTGGAATCATATCCTACAGAAGCATTGGAATTGATGTAGCAAGTACAAGCAGAAGGTCACACTGTACCAAGGCAAGAAGGTCTATTTCGAGGATTCTATACCCCGCATAGTGATGAGGAGTTCCACGACGCACTCGAGTCCCAAGATGGGTGGCAGCAGCCACAGAGCATTCTCAAGCAAAGGTCACGCAGCCCTTCTCCTGGAGGCGGCCGCAAAGGCAAAGGGCAAGGTGGCCCTGCGCTGCAGCCAGACGAGGTGACCAAGCTACTCCAGAAAGCTCTGCAGGCCAACCAGGACCCAACCCTTCAGAAGTCGCGCAAGGATCAGCTCACGAGGTTAGTCGGCAGCGAGCAGACCGCAGATGAGAATCATGCCGAAGCCCTTCGCAAGGCCGACAGCGCTCTGAGGCATGCAGAGCACATGCACGAGCAGGCGGCCACGTCGGTCATGAGATTGCGAGCCAACCTGACGGCTGCAGAGTCCAAGGAAGCGGTAGCGGTCTTGCGTCTGGCGGAGGCCGAGGAGACCAAAGCCAACGCAGCCGCAGCGCTCGCCCGCGCCGAGGGCGTAGGAGGCGACAGCGCCCGCTCCAAGGACAGCAGCAGCACACAGATGTTCAGACTGGAGTGGGATGAAACTTTGTTCGACAAGATTGATGAGATGGAATGTACGCCCCTGGAGAAGGCCCATCCTGAAAAGTTGCATAACGATCTCAAGACCACCAAGAATGCCCTGGGCCCGCGCGATCAGCAGATCCCCTGCTGGCTGGAGCAGGCGAACAGGCTGAAGTGCTTGCCGACGGATCGCCTCGCGAAGAAGCGCAAGGCGGCGGCAGGCGAGCCCGCCCCACCCCCCGCGGCCGCAGCCAAGGAGGCCGACGGCCCATCGGCAGCAGGCGCGGCGGCAGGCGCAGGCAGTGGCGAGGGCAAGGGCTGCCCAGGCGGCCCGACAAGCCAACGCCAGCGCCAGCGCCGCAGCGGGGGGAGGAGGGCGGGCCAGCTCGCCAGGAGAGGGCGAAGCAGCAGGCGGCCAAACTGTCGGCGGCCAAGTTCGCAGCCAAGACGCAGGCGGCCAAGGCCAAGGGCAAGGGCGCGGCGGCGACGGCGAAGGCCCAGAATACTCCAGCTGGCCAGGAGGAGGATGATGCCGAGCTGTGACAAACGAGCAGGGCCCAGCCCCTAGCCCGCACTCGTGTCGGGGCCGATAGTGGCACGCATTTTCCCATAGCCAACATCACGGAGCTCTCGGCAGAGGTCTGGGACTATCTGACGGCCAACTTCAATCAGTACCTGTGTTGGGGTTTTGCAGAGACCCACGTTCATCAAAGGTCAGATGAATTTAATGATTGAGATCCCAAGGCGCGGCAGCTGAATATGATATTGTATTCTAACCCGGCACGACCGTCAAGGAACGCCAAATGTGGCGAGAGAGCCAAGGGAGCGAACGAAGGAGGGGAAATGTTCATGGGCAGGAAACATGTGCAAGCTCATGTGATACCTGAGGCTCGGACGGCGGCACAACATCTTTCGCAGAAAGGTGAAAGCATTATGGATGGGTGTCTGCCGATTGTTCTACATCCTACTGAATACTCAAAAATGTGTGTTGTGGTATACGAGCTGCCATCGATTGGAATGACTGAAGCAAAGAAAGCACGATTTGGTGATAGGGAGTTTTGCTGAAGTCCGTTCGTGCTCCTTGGTTTCTGTTCGGCAAAGTCAACATGCATCCAGAGACGTCCCGCGCCTCCCAATGTAGCCAGAAGTTGCAAGCAGAGATCCAGGTCGCCGCAGGAGGCGGCACATGCGCTACCAAAGAAGGATATAGTCTTATGACTACTACTACTAGTACTACTACTAGTAGTACTACTACTACTACTACTACTACTACTACTACTACTACTACTACTACTACTACTACTACTACTACTACTGCTACTACGACTACGACTACGACTACGACTACGACTACGACTACGACTACGACTACGACTACGACTACGACTACGCCTACGACTACGCCTACGACTACGACTACGACTACGACTACGACTACGACTACGACTACGACTACGACTACGACTACGACTACGACTACGACTACGACTACTACCACTACTACTCCTACTCCTACTACTACTACTACTACTACTACTACTACTACTACTACTACTAC